TTTCCTCATGAAAAGACTTAATTTGATTCTGGCAGGTGGAGTGAGGACCAATCACCCTGATTCAGCGAAGGCTGGTCTATTTCTCATCTCCTGGCATTGTTTCCGTTTCGAGCAGCTGCCCCCTGGGTGTCCCGGCCTCTTGCCCTGGACGTGTGGGCTCAGGACTGATCGGCGCCGCGGGGAAACCACACCCTGAATTTCAGGTCCACTCCCCGTGGTTCCCTTTCCTCTGGGGTCTGGAGAGCCCGTAGCCAGGGAAGGACATCAGAGCAGGGAGCGGGTTCGCCTGACTGGGGGGTGGGCTTGCAGGGACCTGACCTTTCTTTCCTTCTTTCCCGGGTCTCCTCTTCGGGACAGGATGGCACCCCTGGGCCTGTTCTCACCCTGCATTCTGGAAACTGATCACCTGTCCCGTTTCATAGGTTCAAGCTGGGGGTGGGTTGACCTCACGATGGACACACCTCGAGCCTCAGGCTCCCAGTTGAGGTGATGTTTAGGAGACACTCGAGAGGTAGCACTTCAGGGCTGTTAGGCTGAATGACTATTTTGCGTGTGAGACAGACACATATTTGGGGGGCTGGAGCTGAGTGTTACCTGCTGTGTCCCCCAAATTCCTGTGTTGAAGTCGTAACCCCCAATGAGACATATTAGGAGCTGGGGCCTTTGGTAGGTCCTGAGGTCCTGAGAGTGGAGCCCTCAGGATGGAATCAGTGTCCTTATAAAAAGACCCAGGCAGCTCCCTGCCCTGTGAGAACAGCAAGAGGGTGCCCCTCTGATCACCAGGAAGAGGCTCCCCAGGACCCAGGCCCCCAGCACCCCGATTTCGGGCCTCCAGCCTCCAGAACTATGAGAAGTAACTTAGCCCATTCGTGCTCAAGGTGGCCTGGGACACACGGTCCTGTCCAGCCTGGCGGGCAGAGTGCCACTCGGGGCACTTTTATTTGTGTGTGTTTAAGTGAATCCACGCAGGGAGGTCTCCACATGGGAACGACTTCTCTTCAGTGTGAATTTATTTACAACAAATTGCTTGGAAGTTGGAATACGTGTCTCCGTGGAATCTTTGTGAAAACACTGGTCAGCTGTTTCATTAGGAACGTCACTCCTATCGTGACAAATTAGTTTCTCTGCAGTAAAAATTATTAGAAAGTTGAACTGTTATAAATGGCCTCTCCCTCTGAAAACATCTCGTGGGATTGGTTTTTGTGACGGTTTCTGACGGTATTGGATGGCGAGGGGACAGCTCTGAGCCGCCCCTGGGAGG